AGGGAGGGAGGGAAGGAAGGAAGGCAGGAAGGAAGGAAGGAAAGAAGGAAGGAAGGAAGGAAGGAAGGAAGGAAGGAAGGAAGGAAGGAAGGAAGGAAGAGAGGGAGGGGAAGGGAGGGAGGGAAGAATAGTTAGAATCACTGAAGGAAGTCCGAGTGTTATCTCTATGTGTCCTCTAAGGGAGGCCCAATAAACAGGGCCCAAATCACCTGCCTCAGTTCCACCGGAGTTTTCTTTACAAATGTGTTTGCGGTTGGGCTTGACTTTAAAATGTTGAGCTCCATCATAAAGCCAAATGACTGATGCAGTCATCGGCCTGAGGAGGACTGGAAGAGGATGCACCTGATCCCACATTCTAGCAGGGCTTTCTTCAGAGAACCCCTCCGTTCACCAAAATCGCCACAAAGCACACCATCCCTGAGTAATGGTGATAGCATTTACAGCAGACACATGGCTGCATAATAAAATAACCAAGGGGAACTCTTGGCTCTACAAGGGCCAGCTCCTTCCCTCCAGGGCTTCTTAGAGCCTTTAACACACGTGTGTGTACACAGTGGACTTTGAGGGAAAGGTGTGGGATTGTGTCTAGCCTAAACTGACATGACAGGGACCTGTCTTTTCTCCGAGCATCTTATGGGAATTTGTGTTCAAGGATCACACTTTTTGAGCTACAAAGGTTCATCAAATGACCTTTCTTTCATCTGCTGGAACGAAAATTTAAAAATCCATCAATGTTTGAAGAAGCAACCCCCCCCAAAAAAAAAACTGGCTTCTGATTCTACAGCATGATTACAGAAGCCACTCTAGTCATTAGCTTCTGATCCTACAGAACTCACAGCCATTACCAGTTGCTTCCTGTCCCGTGAAGACGTCTTTCTTCCAGAAAGAAAGGTAGAGATGTTCGAGACAGGAGAGAGGCAGGGTGATGTCACTATGCTTCTACCTTCCAAAGTCCGCTAAGGTGCGATTGAAGACCAGAGCAGACTGGCCAGATGAAGGACCAGGTCGCAAGGACAATATGCTAATATTTCCAAAGCATGTATTAGGCGCCAGACATCAGACTAGCACTTGACAAGAAATAAGTTCTTCAGACAGCTTTATGAGGATGTCTTAGTGTGTCCAAGAAAAGAAAATTGGTTTAAGTAGACCAGGTCAAGAAAGTGAAGTAAATGCAATTCTGGAGAGGGAAAAAATACATCAGCTAGTATATTCTAAACCCGGATCTTGGCTGAGAGTGGCCTTTCCCATCTCAGATCTCCCTGCATGAGAGGACTTCCCTTTCCTGTTGTTAATGTGATGACCCTGCCCTAAGATGGCGGCCTGTGCAATGTGAATTTGGTCTCCTTTTTCTTTTGCTCCTCCTTCAAAAGAGAAAACAGAAGGATTGTTTTGTATTGGACTACTCTCTCATATGTATTTTAATTATATATTTTCTTATCTATTTTAATTATTTTCTTATATATTTTGATGTTTCCATATCATCATTTTCTTATATATTCTAATGTTTCAGAATATTTAAATTATTTTCCTAATATTGGCTACACGTAGACAAGAGAAGATCATTTACAAAGTATCATAAAAGCAAAAGATCATGGAGGGTCATTTTGACATCCAAGAGTCTGGTTTGTTTATAAGAGGTCTCTGTCTTCTGGTGCCATGCTTTTACTAAAGGATTAAAGGACTATTTTGTTTTCTAAAAATAACACCTAAGTGATATGTGCATACTTGTCACTTTACATGCTAATGTTCAGAAGTACCAGAATAAGTTGCACATGCAAATTTTCAAAAAGGACAGAAGCTGGAAGATAAGGTGGTTCCAGTCTTTAATCCTAGCTACTCTGGAAGCAGAGACAGGGAATTGTGGTTTGAGGTCAGCCTGGACATACAAGTTCATGAGACTCCTCATCACCCAGTGGCTGGGTAGCGTGGTGCATGTCTGTTATCCCTGGAGATGCAGGAAAGCGCAAGAAGGAGGGCCACACCTCAGGCCAACTGGACATAAAAAAAGGCAACAAAGAGCAGGGGGCATAGCCCAAATGTTAGCACACCTACCTAGCAACCGTGAGACCCTGAGTTCAATCCCCGCGCCACACAAAGTTCTTCCTCCTAAGACTTAAGATACGTTACGTTTCATTTAAGGCTTGCTTAGGTCTATAAAGGTATTACTGTGCCCATTTTATAGAGGGGCACACAGGGGCTCCAGAAGCACAATGCATGCTTTTCCCCTCCACCTGCTAGCAAACTGTTCTCTGTTTACTCTCTTTATGGAGACTTCTAGAAAGCTGATACCTGGGCCACAGTGAAAGGATAGTTTTCCTCAGTTTCCCCAATCTCCATACCTAGTTAAGAGATTTATTTGTTCACGGATGATTTCTTAGTGCCTGTTCCATGCCTCCTCAAACGGAAGGCTCAATGGCCAAAAGGGGCTCACAGATCCATGGAGATGACATGCTAACAAGGCAACCAGGCAACAGGGGAGAGTGGCTGTGGTCCTCAACGTGTGAGATAGTTTGGGACCGCAAGAGTGCAAGCGAAACCTCTATCCAGACACGAGGATGAGAGGCATCCCGGTGAGACACTACAGGGTGAAGAGCCAAATGAGGCAGCCTTAGGTACATCAGCACAGTGACATTGGAGCCAAGGCTTCAATGAGATGCATCAGTCATACACAATGCCACAGGAGTACACTGAAAGGAAGAGCAAGCACCCCAGTCTGGGGGCTCCAGGAAGCTTGTTCTATGGAGAAGCTGAGAGAGAAGCTAGCTCAGGAAACAATGAAGGGAACGTTATACTTCTCATCCTTATTTCCAGTACGACAGAGTCCTTCTTATGCTCTGAGCTCTAGCATGCTAAGTCTCAAAGGGTTCAGCGTGGCTTTCCAACCCAGAAGAATACATGCAGTGGCATCTCTTCTTCCATTCTACCTTCAGGGCCATGTTTGATGTTTGAAAGAAGCCATGATTGCAGCTACTCAGGAGGCAGAAGTCATGAGGGTCACAAAGCCAGCCGGGGCAGAAAGTTATCAAGATGCCCACTTCAACAAATAAACCAGACAGGATGGTTCACATCTACACTCCCAGCTACACAGGAAGTATAACTAGGAGCATCACAGTCCAGGCCAGCTACTGGTAAAATGTAAGATCCTATCTGAAAAATAACTGGAGCAAAAGGGTGAGGGTGTCACTCAAATGATAGAGCACCTGCCTAGCAGTTGTGGGGCCCCAAGTACCACTAAAAAAAAAAACACAAAACATAATCACATGGTCAAAACAAAAGATATCCAGTGTCTCTAGTTATTTAAAAAACACAACAGTGAACTGGCATTGCTTACCCACAAGTATGTCTAGAATAGGAAAAAAAAACCGAGACAATAACAAGTGTTGATGAGGATATCGAGAAATTGTACCTCATACTTTGCTGATGGGGATGTTAATGTGACAGGGTGCCAACTGGTGCAGTCACTTTGCAAAGCAGTCTAGCTGCCTCTCGTCCAATTGAATAAGGAGTTACTACATGAGCCTGCAATCCTCCCCTACTTAGGAATGTATGCAGGAAAGATGAAAAATCCACAGGAAAAAAATGGGCATATAAATGCTTGTAGCATTAGTATCCATAATAGCCAAAATGTAGAAAGTCCCAAATATTTATGAGCTGATGAATGCATACAAAATGTGTTATATCCATACTCAGCCACAAAAACAAATGAATAAACCCCATGACACAGATGATCCTTGTAAGCGTTATGCTAAGTGAAAGCCATCCACAAAGGTTCACGTTTTATGTGAAGCCCTCTGTGTGAAATGACTAGAAGATAGGTCTATAGAGACAGAAAATAGATGGGAGGCAAAAGCTTAGGAATATAGGTTCTTTTCTTTGAGGTCATGGAAAATGTTTCTAAAATTAATTGTGGAAAAGGATGCACAACTCTGTGAATAATAAGACCATTGTGCTGTATTCTTTAAATGGATGAATCATATATTATATGACTCATATCATAACAACACTATTAATAAAAATGAAGCAACTGAAGTATCCTGGAAAGTCATATCTGAAAAATAATAATAGGCCATTGCTTTAGGTTCTTCAGTACTCCATCTGCCAAGAACTTTAGAATTAACCTTAGCTTTGTTTGTGCCTTTGGTTTTGAGACAGGTTCTTTGTCTCGGTCTCCCCAGTACAGGTATGCATTACCATGCCTGGTTTAGTTGATTTTATTTTATTTTTTGATTACTACAAGAAGACTAAGAAATGTCTTGTACTTTTGCATCTCCATTCTGCCAATCAGGAATAAACGAAATGTCTGCCAACTTGCTAAAGGTCCTGGAACTGGACCTAGGCTTGTCTCTCAGCCAATTCATCTACTGTCACATTTATAAACATGTTCCTCCATCTCCTCACCAAACAATGTTAGTCATCAAGCACGCAATAGCCTTTCTAAAGGTGTGTGTGTGTGTGTGTGTGTGTGTGTGTGTGTATACTGTGTGATATGCATGGTGCGTGGATGTTGATTAGTTAAAGTGAGCAGGTATAAAGACAGCAGTGATGTCAGTTTCACGAAAGCCAAAGAGGAAAACCAAGAGTAGAAGCCGGGAGGGAAGATTGTCCAGCAGAGGCAGGTAACAGGAGCCCACAAGACCCTCTTAGCTGGAACTGTAAGGGTCAAAGGACACAAATCATGGGTTCTATTTCCCAACCTGGACTTGAACCCACTGCATGTGCAATCTTAATTTTCTCCTCTCCTACATTCTCCTCAGTAGAAGAAACTCATCAGGTGCAAACTCTGTCATTCCCAGCACTTATTCATGACAGCAAAGGGATACACTGGGAACATCGGAAAATGCTCCAAAGCTCTTAAACCTACTGAAGGCAAATTAAGTAAAAAACAAACAAACAAACATGTAATTGTGTGGGAAGACACATGAAATGCAGCATTTTCCCCCTGCATGAATGAACACCTTAACATTAAAGAAAGTAAGTGTCGAGATGTAATCTATTTGCCTCTCTTGTTGGAAATGTCACCCAAAGCACAAGTCCTCAGCATAAAGGATAGAAATGAAGGGAAATCCAGGCTGGCTGCCCGGAAATCCAGGCTGGCTGCTCTAGAGCTGACTCAAACAAGCAGTATTACAACTGTCACTGTTACATCTAAAATCCGTTTAATAAAAGTTTTAAATAAAAAGACAGGGCAGAAGGAAAGAAGAAGGAGGTAAAGAAAAGAAGTAGGAAAAAGGAAAGGAAGTGAGAGGAAAGAAAGAGCAGAGGTCCCGCCAGGAACCCAGTTTCTGGAGATCATAGGGAATACATTTCCAGAGGAAATCCACTCCACAGAACATCTAATCAGCGTCAGAGACAAGTCTCTCGCTTGCATATATTTATACACATGAAAGCTGTCCCTTTGACAACAAGTCTCCGCTCTTCCTCAACCCATCCTATGGGAGCTTAAATTGTGCCATTACGCAGAACAATGAGGCCACAAAGGTACAGGATCTCACCCCTGAAATAAGTGAAGAGGTCAGTCAGGAAATGAGAGTGAAAGGGACTGAGCTACCTATTCCATTCTACTCCACCAGAAGGGCGACAAGTCTCCCTGGATCAGGGGAGGAGATGGTGTGAAAGGCAGGGATTTCGAGGAGACAGAGGTCTCTAGAAAAAAGAGACTGGGCAGAAGGAAAACCTGAGGGATAAGTGGGGGAGGGAGGGAGGGAGAATGAAAGGGGTAAAGAAGAGATGAAGCAAGAAATCTCTGGGTCAAGAACACAATGTTCCACTAATGTCTTCATCTGAGAAATAAGGAGGCGGAGGGTGATTCCATTCTGTGTCATTCGTTATCGATGACACCAACTTTCTGAGGATGTTTCTCACCTCTTTCTAAAGAGGAAGGGACTTTTCCACCTCCTGAAAAGATCTGAACCTAAGGGGTTCAGAGCTCTAAAGAGCCTCAGAAAAAGATTCTAATCACAAAAAGGGGAAGCGCTGCAGGACCCATGTGGCCACAATCAGACTTCTTGTATAAAAGGTATTTTTCAGATAGGTAATATGAATTCCTTCAAACATGAATTTTAAACTGTAAATACTGGGTGAAGATTTACTTAGATGAGAAAAGATAAACACTACTCTTAAATGGTAAACGCACATTCAGATATAAATTATTTCATTGGATCTTATAATGCTTCAGAAATGTTCATGTTGTTGAAATATAGGAGCCATATTTTAGTTTGTTTACTGTTTTATTGTAATCTATGGCCACACTGACAGCAAGATAGTCGAAGCTAGGATCTCAAACTACTATCCAAAAGACCAATCCATTAACGGTAAGTTCTTTCTACAAACCATACATAATAAAAATTTGACAATTGTGTCATCACTCATCTTTGAAAGAAAAATCAATCCAGTGAAGGATTTGGAGTAATTTCTGAAATTGAAAACATGTTTCTATAATTCCTTTAACACAAGAGGCAACAAAACTAACATGCAGTTACAGATCAAGAAGGAACAAGTGTAATTACAAGTATTAAAGGCAATAAATTGTAACTATAACCTCTCTGTACAACTTCTTTACAATAAAATAAAATTTAAAAAAAGAGAAAAAAGGCAATGCCTTTTATAGGGTGCAAGTGTGGGATTCATTTAGAGAGAAAAATGTAAGTATTGTGTATGTATGTATATATGTGGAGAAATGCACTAAAATGTCAGACAACAGTATTGATTTTTAGCAATGTACTCTGGCAGAGACATGAGCTTTACTCCATTCAGATCATATAAAAGTCAGTTTTATATATAAGTCAGTTATATATATATAAGTTCATAATCTTGCTCCCAGATAACCACAAATGTTTCCAAATGCCCTTACAGTGCAACCTCCCTTTGAAAAGCCTTTCAATATTATGCAAAAGCTCCCAAGTTCATAATTCTCCTAGATGAGAAAAAAATCATTTATTTCTTATGCTGTTTTTATTCAAAATTAGAAAGCCAAGACATCAGGAATGGAAGCATTTTGTATAAGGACAGAAGCCTGCCAAAGGTTCAGCAGCCTTCTACTTTTCCCTGCTAGCAAAATTTCTCTCCAGGTGTGCTAAGAGTCCTGTCTGAACTAACCTGGCTAAAAATGCCTGCAGGGGATTTGTACTTTTGTGCCCCTGAGTAGCAAAAGCTACGTGAGTATCACCTGAGCGCATGTGAATGCACAGCCGTGACTTTTGATTTCAGAATATTTGCATCTCCTCTGCTAGGCAAAAACATCAGATATTACTCTGACTTTCCATAACCCAAGAAATGCCCGCAAAGTTCAGTTTCCTTCAACCCTTAATTCATTGGGGTGACAAAACCAGAAGGAAACCTGTTTAAGGCAGCTTACCATCGCTTCATGCACACCATCACAAATGAACACTCACCCTCAAACACACACGTGAAAGGAAGCAGTCCCCCAGCCTACCTCTTGGCTCCTTGGTCTCCCACTAATCCAGAATTTTGGCAAGTTTTCTGTGCTTAAGAAGTAACCTTCCAACTTCCAGACAGAACTGACTTTTACATGATCTGAATGGAGTAAAGCTCAGGTCTCTGCCAGAGTACATTGCCAAAAATCAATACTGTTGCCTGACATTTGAGTGCATTTCTCCACATATATTCATACATATACAATACATATATACACGTATATATATATATGTCCTACATAAATATATGTAGGACATCAGCCCTTTGTGGTGATTGCCCAGAATCTCTCCATTTACAATGCCTGTGAGGCAGGTGGCTTCCTCTTCCACTCCTCAAGTGATCTCAGAAAAATTAATTAAGTTGGCTGGGGGACAGCCATGTGAGCGAGTTCTCTGAACATGTCTAAGCGGACAGACCCTGCCACCTCTGGGTGGGGAGCGGCGGCCTCTTCCACATTCAAGGGCCTCTCCTCCCTTGCCTGCCAGTGCCGGCCGGGCCAGCGCAGCAGATAGACTCACCTGCCATTCTTGGTCACAATCATCTCATTAGTGATGTCTTTGAATCTCTGCCAGAGGGGCGCATCCTCCAGGACGATCTGAAGCTGCTTCTCTGTGGGGTCGCCTTTCTCCCTCCCTGCCTGGAGCTCACTTTCCACCACATTGAGCAGACGAGACACAGAACCATCGCTGTTCTTCTGAGGACCTGGATCACTCATGGCTACGGGGCCTCTCAAACTTTGCTGAGAGCCAGTGCCTAACTCACCTCCTTCTAGCGCCTTCCTTCCCTCACTTGCCTGCTTTTCCCACCCAGCTGCACGGTGCCTGGGGGTACTGGAAAAAAGTGCTGGGGCTCTTGCCTGAGCTCTTAGTCTGCCACCCCTGAAAGTCTCCAAATTATACCACCAACCTGTTAAGCTTCAGTTGGGGAGTGGGGTGGAGGGAGGGGAGAGGTAGGGAAGAATAAGCCCTCTCTTAATTACTCATTGGATCAGGTGGGAGCGAGCCTGGCTTTCCCATTGGCTGCCGTGCCTAGAGTAGACGTTTAAGAAGGGTACTCCATCCAAATTATCAGGCTTTTATCTTGTTGTACCTGAAGAGGTCTAATCGGTGTATTGAGTACCATTTTCCCGTTAATTAAAATTATTCCAGGCCCAGACTGCCACACTCAGGCAAATCATGTTTGTGTATAAATCACGGCATATGGCACCTATAGGGAAGGAGCTCCTGGGCAGAATTAAGAAACTTGATGTCTGTCCTGATACAGTAGAGAATCTAAATCTCTCAGCTACTCCCCAGCACCCTGGACAGGTTATTGAGGCTTTAGAAAGACAGTTGGCAGGTTTGGAAGGTCAAAGGCACAGTGCCAAGAAACAAGACTATTGTACCAGGGAGCAAAAAAATAAAAAAGGATGCTCAGTGTGCCACATTCAAGGTTCTGAGTTCAGGAGAAAAGGAAAGAGTAAAGGACCTCTTTCACCCAGAGGAATCGCTTCTGGTCATGTCTCTCCCAAGGGATCTCACACAGTCTTACACCCTACCCAGCAAAAGGTTTCTGTTCCCCTTAGACTCCAGCACTCCAATTTTCCTTATGCCTATTTTTAGCCAAAGAGAAGGAACCAAAAGGCAATTAGTGGCATATTATTCCAAGAAATTGCTTGTTTGAACTCACCATGTGGAAACAAAATGTACACAACTATGCAGAGCAATTTTAATCCTTGGTCTGCTAGGACATTCCAGTTTCTCCTTCAGATAAGACTATTCTAGCCTTCCAGGGCAAATCCCCACACTTCCTTGATGATACAACTAGTAGAAGAAAACTTTCCTTCACACACACCATTTTAAGGAACAGGAAGCCAGGGCTGAGGGAACACAGGAACAGAGGTAGCTCTAACCCACTAACTCTGAACACAGCATGCAGATGGCTTTGTAAAAATCTCTCTTTAAAATAGGAAGTAAGAATAACAAACACTAAAAAGCAAAATTCTAAGGTAAAGATGATGCAGCATGTTCATTCAGCATTTTAATGAGAGTATCGGATTTATTTTCATGATGTAGATGAAAATGGCATAAGAAAGAAAAATAACTTGTCCAATAAGCAATAAGCCAGGAGAAGAAATAGCCACGGAATAACCTTTCCACCCCTGACTCATCGGAGGACCCTTTGTACAAATGATGGAGCCGGAAGAGGTTTTCTCCTGAGTGCTCCTCCATTCTCTCTTGGACTTGGTTAACAGGAAACTAGCTGTGAGGGTCCTCCCAACCTTCTTTATCTTGCTGGCCCTCTGGAACGTCCCATGAACTTTTTTCTGTAGTCAGCATCTTGCTATGTATCCCAGGCTATACCAAATTCTTGTTCCTATTACCTCAATTTCCTAAGGGCTGGAAGTACAGGTAATGTATCACCATGCTAGGCCCATAGAAATTGTTTTCTCTGTGTGTTAATCACACTTCTCACTACTGTCCCAAATGCCCAAAGATTTTAAAAAGTGAGTGTAAGGGAGAAAGGATTTATTTCGGCTCATGGTTTTAGAAGTTCCAGCCCATCCTTGCTTAGTTCCGTGTGTCTAGGCACTGCTATAATGAGGCAGAGCATTATGGGAGAAGGTACCGTGGAGAAAAGTTGATCATATGTGGCAGCCAGGGAGCAGAGAGAGACAGAAGAAGAGACGAGGGACAAGATTCACCCTTCAAAATGCTCTCCGTGGTTCACTTCCTCCGAACTTTGTAAAAGTGTTCACCACTTCTCAATCATGCTATCAAATTATAAACCCATCAGTGGGTTAACCCATTGATAGCTCAAAGATGGCAAAAAAACCCACAAAACTTCATGATCCAATCATCTCTGATAACCAAACCACTCAGCTATGGACCAAACCTCCAACATATGATGTTTTAAGAGGAGATGACACTTCATATTCAAATCCTAACAGTGTCTTGTAGGAAGTTCTTGTTGGAAATAGATATTTTTAAAATAGATTTTAAAACTTTGGATCCAAAGTGTCGGACACAGTGATGCCTAAGATATTTCCCAATTCCCCATTCTATGCATATTTTAAAAGGTGTTTTTAAAAACATTTCCTAACAAGCTGGTGGCTCACACCTGTACTCCAAACTACTCAGGAGGCTGAGATCTGAAGATTGTAGTTCAACACCAGCCCAGGCAGAAAAGTTCCTGAGACTCTTATCTCCAATAAACCACTCAAAAAAGACTGGAAGTGATGCTGTGGCTCACGTGGTAGAACACTCAGAGGGGCAGCGCCCCGGCCCTGAGTTCAAGCCCCAAGACCAGAAAAAGAACATTTCCTAACAACTCCATAAAAATCTCATCTTCCTCGGTTATCGTACCACAATCTGATTTATTACATGAGTGGATTACTGCTTTCTAAACTGCTTTACAGACGCCTCACAGCAGTGCCCCTACAAGTTTTGTAAGTACAGGACATAGTCAAGCATCTCAACAAACAAATCACTCATTTTCTTGCTTCCAGAATCTCTACAGCACTGAGCTTTTCTGAAATAAAAGTTAAATCTTAGACAATTTGCAATAGGTTATTGCATCTTCAATACTTGAAAGGTCTCATATCTGCATTTGATTGGTTTATGCATTTTATTTCCATCTCCTATATCATAGACCATGCTTTTAAATATAAAATCTGGTAGCTAGCACACAACAAGTCATCGAGAATTATTGTGGGTTTAACATTCAGTCTATCACAACATAATAAAGCACATGCTAATACAAAGACAAATGAACTTTCCAGGCACCAGTAGTTCACGCCTGTAATCCTAGCTACCTAGGAGGCTGAGATCGGAGGACTGCTGTTAAAAGCCAGCTTAGACAGAAAAATCTGTGAGACTATCTCCACCTAGCTAGCAGAAAACTTTTACTGGAGATGTGGCTCAAGTGGTAGAACACCCACCATGAAAAAAAATAGTCAAGCAAAAGCACAGAGCCCTGAGTTTAAACCCTTGTACTAAAAAGGTTTTTTAAAAATGAGAAAAGAAAAAGGGACAAGGGCAAAGAAAGAAAAGGAAACTGAAAAACACCATAACTTCCATTCCAAAATTTAAAACTTACAAAAAAATGAACACAACGAATAATAAAACTACCATACTTTAGTCAAATTCACATAGACGGTGGCAGGGGTCTGTGGTCAAGCCCAGGAGGTTTAGACCAGCAGAGCCACACTTCCTCCCATAATCAGGAAATGCTGGATTTCCAACAAAGTGTTGAATCAAATAAAACACACACACACACTTCCAAAAATTAATTTCTAGTCTGTGAAGAAGCTGATTTAATATGTGATTGGAGATAGGAGAACTGCGATCGGAAGCCAATTCCCAGGCTCTTCAATTCTGACCCCTGCTAAGTCTTCCCAGGTAGGGAATACCGCCCCCTTGGCTCCATCACACGTCACGTGATGTCCACAACCTGACGCTTCCACTTTCCGGCTGTCCAGCAACCTGTGCCAGTAGGCACTAGCGGTATACAGATGTCCCCTGCAGAAATCATTGAGGGTAGATGCGGGATCACACAACAGACATGTTGGGATGTCATACAAATTGCCTAAATCTTGTTTGTCTATCAACTAAGCGTAACAGCAAAGCTTGCTATTTAGCTAATCTGATTGTGGATCGCGTACTAGAATGAAGACTGCTGAAACTATCCACCCCTAAAGCATGTGCATGCACATCTGGGCTTTCACTTAGAGGTCCTATTCAAAGAAGGCCCGGAGGAAGCATCTAGGAAAGAGTGGAGAATTAGAAGAACCCCAAGAATAAGGAAGAATGGGAAGAACCCCAAGAATAAGGAACAATCAAACAGCCAGGCACAGGGTGGGCTAGAAGTATTTTCCTTCCTGACCCACCATGACTGGTTCTCACACTGAGGAGCTGCATTCCTGTGAAAGTCCAGCTCTTGCAGGAAATATGCGAATTCTTTATCCGTTGTTTACAACAAGAACTCCAGCCAGGAAAAATCTGGAGGGACCAGGGAGTCCTGGTCACTGGGAACTTTGCTCCCCAGGTTGGAGCCTCTAATGCCCCACGCTCAAGGCGGGCCAGATCATCAAGAGAAATCATAAATGTTGAGATCTGCGGGAAAAGGTGTAATCATGTAAGTTGTAAACTTTGCCAAGAATTACCTGTGTCTGTGAACAATTAATTTTGCTGTACCTTCAGAGGCTAGAAGACACGAGAGGAAATCTCTGAACTCTCTCCATGTTCTTTGGCTTTTTTAAATGAGGCCAATGATCACAAGGATGGAGGCATTTTCCTGGCATCACCTCACATTGTCATCTGCCCAGCATCATCGAGGACTTACTTTAGGGCAGGCTTCAGATCTGACCCCAGGGAGAGACCATGGGGGCGGGGGGTAGGGGGGAAGACTGTCAAGTTTCCTGCCGTGAAAGTTGGGAAGGGAAATTGCCAAAGGAAGCAGAGCATAGAGAAAGCCCGCCATGCCCTGCAGGAGCCAGGGAGAACTTCCCAGAACACAGCACACTTCCACTTGGTTGTGAAGAAGTACAAGTTCAGCCTGGGTCCAGGGAAGAGCTACATTCCAGGACGAGAGAAAATTCCAGAAAAAGGTCAGAAGGCACAAAAACATCAAGTATTCAAGTAACATCAAGATTAGCCAGTGGACCATTAGACTAGACAGGGATGGTTAAGGGTTCTCAATGTTCACTGTTTCCCAGAAGGAAACTAGTTTAGGTAGCATATGAACTAATAGTTATTATTACAATAGTTGCATGTAACACCCATCCATTGAAGGATAATATTGCTTAGGACAAAGAAAAGGATAAAATTAGTTTACCTAGCATGAGCTCAACCCCCAGCACCACTAAAACAAACCAGAGAATGAAATAGTTCAAACT